AGGGCGGGGAGGGCAGAGCCGAGCAGGAGGGGCTTTTCCCTGCGGGGATATTCCGCGCGGCGGTGGCGGCCCCGGCCCCCGAGGCAGCGGCTCTGGGCGGGAAGGCGCTGTGGGGGGACCGCGGAGGTGGTCTGTTTTTGCGGTCTTAGGGCTGGATTAAACACCTTTTAGCCTAAACACAGGCTGTTAGAACCGTGTTTACCATCGTGGTAACTTCCCAGCACAGCGTTTTCTGCGCTTGCAGGACGGGCTCTGTTGGTTTTTTCCTAGCTTGGTCCTGTGAGGGGATACAAACGCGGCTGTTTCTGTCGCGTGCCAGGCACGCTGTGGGCGTTTTGCTGATGAACCAGTTTTGCTCTTCTTGAGGAGACTTTTCTTTCAAGGAAAGTCTTTCTTCCTTCTCTGTGATCTGATATTTTTCAAGGAAAAAGGGGATATCACCTGTCTCCCGTGAAGCTGGACAAAACTGTGGACAGTTCTTTCTTTCATTCGTGCACGTTTGTATTTTATGTTCCCGTTTGTATCATGTGAGATAAAATACATGAGTGAAGTTGTTGGGGTTTTTTTTTTGGTTTGGTTTCTTTTTTTTGCTTTAGGGTGGGCGTTGATGGGTTTTTCTCATTTCCGTTGTAGTGAAATGGCACTAACACCCAATTCTGGGCGCTGGCATACGTGAGGGGCGCGTTGTGACTGCCTGGGCATCCCTGGCTGTAATCCATACCTGCCGTCTTCCAGGATCTGGATGTTTGTGGCGAGGTAGAGGTCAGAAGTAGTGTAACGTCAAGGAGAAGTTTTGGATCCCTTCCCAGCCTACGCAGAACTCTCTTTCTTGCTCCATTTTTTTAAAACTTCTGAAAGTAAAACCACCTGTGCTTGTTAAAAACGGTGTGGGTCCTCAGGAGGAGGCAGCGGAAAGACGGCTGACACAGGCTGGCTGTGGGCGTTTTGGCCACCGCTGGTTTTGCTCTCTTGTTCCAGTGATGTGGTGTTACGAATGCTGATGTTTTCACCAGTGTTTTATCACAGGTGAGAGCAGGAAAGAGCAACACTAATGCAAATACGGTTTGTTTCATCAGTTTTAATGAGACTTTTAAATATCACCCGTTTTTCAGTTACAGTCTTTCTGAGGTGTTCTTACGGGGGTTAACAAATAAAGCCCTTGCTTTCCTTTTAAGGCCAGTTTTAGTGAAAATAAGCACCATCTTTCTCTAGCTAGGTAGCTTTCTAGGATGCATATCTGTTAAATATCTTCTTTGACATCTGTGTGATGTCATATGCAGTTAGTTTGATGGAAGATTTCTGATATTAAGAGAAATCTGGTGGCATCGCAGTCTGTCAGGTGGGACAGATCACTAAAATCATCATAAGTGCACACTCTAACTCTTATTTTTTTTTCTGTTTCTAGATCCTCCGTTATTTTTGCTTAAGTGATGGAAACATACACTAAAGGAAAAAAAAAGTCGTCCTTGTGTTTTTCATATTGTATGAAAGAATCCAGAATGTTGCAAGAAAACACATCAGACAATTGTTTAAATGTAACAACAACATCTACTGAACATGGTGCTTTCCAGACAAAAGGCCATAGCGCAAGAAGCCTTAGCCCAGAAGAAGCTGAGCGACTGGCAAAAGATCGGGTTTTGGTGTCTGACTTCAAACAACTGAAACTGGAGAAAGAGGCTCAGAAGAACTGGGATCTGTTTTACAAAAGAAACAGCACCAATTTCTTTAAAGACAGACATTGGACAACCAGAGAGTTTCAAGAGCTAAAAGCATGTCGGGAGGTGAGATCTCTAAGTTTCCTCTGTAAAAGATGGGATTGTAACAAAGCCATTAGGGTCAGAGCTTCGCATGTTAAGTTTGCAGTGCCCTGTGTAGTTTCTCGCAGTGTCAAAGATAGACCTCCTTAGAATCAGATGTGTCAGTTCAGTTGCAGTTTATAATTGACCTATACTGGACACTGAGAACGGAATCTGGAATATTTGTTTTGTGTCTTAGATAAACAGCTTGTCTCTCTGTATTGTGACAATTTCAGATGGAAGTTGGTGCGCTTTAGAACACTGCTTTAAAGAAGAGCATCCAGAATTACAGGCTAATTGCAAAACTTTGTTAAGGGGAATAGCCAAATGCATCTGTCGTTGATTACAGCTGAATGAAAGACAAGACAGAAATGGTAGAACAATCTGTTGAATACATAAAGGGTAGATGACTAAAGAAATATCAATATATATTCTAAAAAGATCTGTAATTCTGCAGAAGCCAAGATTTCTGTTTTGTAGTGTCAGATTATCTGACGGATGCCTACTATGGTTTTTGAATCCATGGTAATTAATATTTATTACAGCTTTTAAAATGTTGATTGAACAGCGTCTGTTCTCGTATGACGAAAATAAAATTATGCGCTTTCTCTTGGATTTCTTCCTCCCCAGTTTGCAGATCAAAAACTGACCATTCTGGAAGCAGGCTGTGGGGTTGGGAACTGCTTGTTTCCACTCTTAGAAGAAGATCTGAATATTTTTGCATATGCCTGTGATTTCTCTCCTAGAGCTGTTGAGTATGTGAAGGTTGGTGTGATATTTGGAACTTCTTTTAGAGTGTCTTTAGAAGCTTCTGAAATTACAAATGACTGGAACGACAGACTTCTCTTGTTTTTTGTAAGGGTAGCATAGCTTTTGCAAAAAAAAATGGAGACATCCATTTCAGTGGAGCTCCTGTGCAAGAAGCCGAATCGTTGTTCAAGACCTAGTTTTTCAGTGTCAAAATGTAGCATTATGGCAATGTATGTATATTACTTGAAAGATTTGTGAAGACTGTCCTTTCTGGGAGCAGTAGTGTGTCTCTGCTGTCTGCAGTACAAGCAAAATTCGCTTGGGATGGAAGCTTGTATGTTTACACTTCTTAGTATATAGCTGGTATTGTAGTCCAAAGTTAAGTCTTCCAGCAAGGCTGGTGGGCTTTAAAAGTCTCCTGTTTTATTAGGTTTATTATCACAGCTAAATTTCCATGTATCTGTGATTTGGAAGCATTCTCCTGCGGGACATATGTGACCGAGACCCACAGGACATACACTGTGTGTCTCATGGGAAAAATGGGAAGAAATATGTGTGGCAAACAGGAGAGGAGAGCAGCTCCCTGGGATGCCACAGCTGCACTGCAAGATGAGGTTGGGCTGAGTGTGTACCCTGGGTTTTGGGTGACTTAGTGCTGCCTGCTTCCACAGTTCTTGCTGAACTTCTTTCTTGCCAGGGCCAGGTTTCCTTTTACCAGCAAAACTGTAGGCTACAACAGTCCAGCTGCAGGTTGTGGGACGTGAACCCGAACTGTTTACAGTCTACCTGCAGCTCAAGAGCTGTACTTTGACCACCCTGTAATACAGAATTTCTTTTCAATAATATTTCTATATTTTTAAAGAGTAGGAGCGCGGTAAAACAGAAATGGTATGTTTCTGAACAGTCTTGATGCACATTCCGTCTCAAATTCCTGAGAACAGACTATTCAAGTAGTTATAATTTCCCTGTTGTAGTACGCAGGACACATCAGTCACCCGTTGGAAGTTAATGTTCTATTGCCATTGTGTTTTGTGTCACTCTACTGATGAATTTCTCAAGTTTTTCACAATAACAAATGCTGCTCATTTCCAGTGAAAGCATCCTCTTTCCATTTCCCTAGAAAAATGCCTTATATAGTACTGAAAGGTGTAAAGTGTTCCAGTGTGATCTTACCAAAGATGATCTTCTAGAAAATATACCAGCAGATTCTGTGGATGTTGTCACACTTATATTTGTACTTTCTGCCATTCATCCTGACAAAATGCATCTTGTCTTGAGGAACGTTTACAAGGTAAAACCAGCTGATTTTACAGCTTTTAAAGCAGTTTCTTTTCTGTCTTGGTACTGTGAGGTTTGGATTGTGGCCTAGTACATGCTGTCAACATCACAGCAAGGTATTTTGAACCTGTGACTTGGGCTCCTAATGTGTATGCTACAAGTAGTGTTTATGGATTGCAGAAATGTCTGTGTTGATAAGGTTGTGAGTGACAGGGAACCCAGGCTGGTTTCCAGAAGATACAGTGACTTGCAGTTGGGATGTTATTGTTCAACACGCTTGATCTGTGGTGATTTAGAAGTGGGGTGTTCAGAGATCAACATTAATCTAGAGAGACTCATCTCCCAGGGCTGCCTTTGTTAGCTGGTGGACTGGGATAGACCCATCCAGAGGGTGGTTTAAACACTCTGAATTGTGATTGTTCTGAATTGCCCTGAGGTGTCATATATTGGCTGCAGAGGGAAATAGTCAACATACTTTTTATTCATGCATATATGTGTCTTTGGGGTTTTATATTACCAGATATCCTGTTTGTTTTATCATGAGAAGTTTGAAAAGGGAATGTTAGGGTTTGGGTATTTCTGGTGTATCTCCAGCTGTTTTCCAAAGTCAGGATTGGCTCTTAGCTCATGCACATGAAAAGGCTAATTACTGTTTTCTCTGTGGCGTTGCCTGGCTCATTTAACTCACTTGTAGGTCTCTGCACAAATTTGCAAGTTGGAGGTACTCCTTTTCTCCTCTAATAAATACAGCTGGTATTTGACGAGGTAGGAAAGTTGCATCAAATGTCAAGTCAGCATGGCAAATGACCATGTATTTCTAAATTTTGAACTCTTTATGGCTTTATTTCATTACCAAAGAGGGATTAAAAAAAAAAAAAAACAAAACAAAACCCACAAACAAAACCACAAGCCCTTTTTTATTTCTTATCATATTTTTTTCTCACATGAAAAAAGAAGTGCCATGGTATTCTAAATTTTATTGTTAATCGTTAAGCAAAATCTGGTGCTACACGATAGACTACCCAACAAACAATTGATGTGTTAGGACTTTATTGTTAAACTCTGTATTTTCTTCTTTCCTCTGTTTTGAAGAGTGTTGCAAAAAGGTTATTTAGCTGGTCAGCACCCAAACAGGTATCTTAAGTCTATTTGTAGTCTACTATTCGTGGGAAAACATTTTTAAGGGTGGACAACACAGTTTACGTACAACTTTTTTGTCGCACAGGGAATTAATTCAATATATTTATCACTTCTGTATCAAATGTGTTAGGATACCATGTCTTAGTTGTATGCGTATGTGTCTGTATGCGTATACAAATAAGTATGTATAAATATGGCTAAACCCATTTTCCTTATTAAAGCACTTATGTATTATGTGACAGGTGTTAAAACCAGGCAAGTGTGTCTTGTTCAGAGACTATGGACTGTACGATCATGCAATGCTCAGGTTTAAATCTGGCAGCAAACTTGGAGAAAACTTTTACGTTAGACAAGATGGGACAAGATCATATTTTTTTACTGAAGGTAAGACATACTGCAGAGTGCTTTCTTTCCTGTGATTCTTCCATTTAAACCCGCTTTAGGGAATTGCCAACATGCCCATGGAGGTTTTGTTTTACACAGATGAACTGTTAAGTCGTGGTGTACTTCATTTGATACGCTTTTTGGGAGGAAGAGGGTATTTAGACTGGCAGGACTTTTCGGAGCACTTTCTTGTTTGCAAGCTTCTTGTACGTGCCATAATGTGCCAAGCGCGGCAGTTTCTGAATTTCATTCAGATTTGTTATCTAAGGGGAGGAGACCAGCGTTGAGTGATGGAATAGATCATCTTCATGAAGCAGCTAAGCAGTTACTGTGGCATCGTTTGTTCTTGCAAGGCTATTCCTGGTGTGCACGATGAGGTCTGCTAAAGAAGTCAGTGACTGCAGCACTGAGAAGCTTGCGCACAAACCCTGCTGCGATAGCACTGACTGGCTGTGGTCACTGTCTTCTTTTGGTTTTATAGTAAAGGTGTTGCAAAACACACTTCCCATGTGATACAGTATTGAAACGTTTTTTCCTTCAGTGCTCGTAATGCTTTAGGAAAGAAGGCAATTATTGAAGTTTTCTGGTGGAGAATTTGGCACACAGAGACACCGAGGAATTTGCTTAGACTCTCACAATGATTATAGCTTGTCTTCTAACTCCCGATTCCTCATGCTAAACTTCAGTGAACCGTTACTTCCCCCTGTCAGGTTTAGGGTGTTGTGTAATAAGAGCTGTGTGTTTATTTCTGTGGGGCTCTTTGTTCTTAGTCTAAAGCAAAATGCAGCCACTGAAGAGACCAGTTTGGAGCCAAGTAAATGTTATTCATATTTTATGACACAACCTATTACCTAATTGCTTCTGATATATAAAAACCATTAATCTTGTCTGAGCTCTCTCCATTCTTTACAGGACAATGATGGAATCTAAGATAATGCAGGCTGTGCTGCAGCTTCATTGAAGCATTTCTAGAACTGTTATTGATGGAGTGATTTTTAGTTCTGTTTCAACAATTAGCTTTTACAAAGAGGACGGATGCTAGAGAGAACAAATAAGAGACTGACCTAGCTGTGGCATTTAAAATCCCATTTTTATTGTGCATTAGAATTGTTTCTGAATGAGAAATCCCTTGCCTAGTATGCAAGTTTGCTTTGGGGGAAGAATTGAGGTAGGGAAGAAGAGGAAGGAAGGAGAAGAGACAGAATCTATCTTGTGTTGCTCATGTTAGCAATTGTTTTGCCTTGGGCTGGTCTGTGACTGCCTCATGGACCACCTCTGTTTCCGTTTTTAATCATCGTGATCTCATTCGTCTCGCTAATTTTCATATAAATATTGCTTAATGCTTGAGAATTCTTTTGTTAGTAGAAAGATGACTCCCATAATTTCTTCACAGTTTTCAACCCATGCTGTTTTTTATTTGTGTAGCACTACACTGGTACACCAAGTAGTTGCTGAATGGGATGATTTGGATGATGCGTACTTATAATATGTCTAGCCTCAGATGAGAACACTGAGCTTCTTCCATGGGAAAAAATTCCTTTCTTCCACTGTTTGAAATAAATTTGTGGAGGAATGCATGGTTGTAACTTTGTGTAATGAAATATGTGCAGTTTCCTTACAATGAGATTTCAATAGGTCCACAACTAAGTGCGGTTTATTTATATTTCATTGATGTGGGTACCCCATATTACACCAACACACTGTGTTTATAACCAGTGCATGTGTCTTCATGGTGGATTTAGGTCGATACAAGCCTGCACTACCACCAAAGTGGGTGGTCTCGTCTTCCTTCCGCAGCACACCACCTCTTCTAGTACTGGTGTTCCTGTATGTATCTGTATCATCAGCTGTTTCGTCAGGCTGATCCCCCTGAGCAGTGAAAAAATGGCACGTCTTTGTTTTCTGTCAAGTAGCACGAGTTTAGAATGGCTTAAATTTATAGTGAAATTACCACCTGGTTAAATGAAACGATGAACAGGAAAGGAAAAGTGATGGTTTTCAATTAACATGACTGGTCAATAGCATGAGCAGCCCTCTCTGCGGCATGGGTCACCCTGTTGGTGAGGTACCTCTGCCTTCCCTAAGGGAGATAGGCTTTGGGTAAGACCTTTTGTTCATGGAAAATCCTTCCTGTTTGACTTGGTGAGGGCTTGGCACCACCACATCCGCTTTGCCATTTTGTCCATTTTTCTGTTGAGCAATGGCATGTGACTGTCTGGTAACACAGGGCGCTATTCTTCCTCAAGCGGAGACGCGCCTACGAGGCCGGATTACCTTTGAAGCATTTCAAGTAAGTGATGTGTTCAGCTGCACAAAGTGAAAATGCTCTGGCGTCACTCACAAGGAGAATGACAAGGCTCAATAGAAATAAGAGATGTGGCAAGTTTTGTAAAGGAAACTGAGTAACTAGCTTAAGGCCCGGTTATGCTTAGGTTGATGTTTCTAAAGGAAACATCATGAATTGATTTTTATTCAGCAGTCTGCCTGCATGGAACAGCTTGAAATCTGAAGGCCCGTGTGATTTTCATGCTGTAACACGTAAGAACACATGCTTATGTAAATGCTGACTAGTGTTTTAAAAATAGCTTAAACATAATATTTCATCTTATTTTTAATTCTCTTTCAGAGTTCCTGTCTCAGCTTTTCAAGGCTGAGGGATATGAGGAAGTGGTCAATGAATATGTGCAGCGAGAAACTGTGAATAGGAAAGAAGACTTGCGTGTTCCAAGAGTTTTTCTTCAAAGCAAATTTCAGAAGCCTTTCAGTAAGACATAAGCTAGCACTTCGTTTTTCCTTGTGTGTGCTCTTCTTTCTGGTAAACCAGAAATGAAATGACTGCAGCCAGTGCCTCTTGTTGGTTTGCATCCTCGGATATGTAATATGGATGCCATGCAAATTTAGGATGGTGTAGTATACAGGCCACCTGTTGAGTTGTATTTCTGGTTCCAAAGTAAATCCTGTGCAGCGTTGTTGGTGGATCAGGTAAAGCACAGTAAACGTGGTTAATTTGAAGCGCGAGTGTTCATTAGTTATTGTCACAGTTGTTATTTGCATTTTTATTAAAATGTATTTTTAAAATAAGTATTCTGTGTTTCCTATCACTTTTATTTTGTGGCCTGTTAAAGTTACAGTATTTCATCTGCTTTCAGTACTTGTAGGACTTCCGAGTATAATTTTTGAGATGCAGGCTCAGCAAGGGGTATAATGTCAGTTGGTTTGGTATTTTACTAATGGCATCTTTGTAATGTGCTCAGCATTTAGATATGTGAGCAAATGTTTATATTTTAAATAAGATCTTAACTTATCTGATTTCATGCTTGAAGCAAATTGTTAAAGGATCAGGTTGTCTTTATGCCTAATTAATTTCAGATGTTCTTCGTTTGATGAGTAGAAATAGTTGAGGTTTGCAAGTCTGTTTCCCACTTGGAACTGAAGTCAGTGAGTCAGAAATACTAAGGAAAGTATCAAGTGTGGTCAGCCTCTTTCCTGAGCAAAGGTCTTAGTTCTTTTCCATCACGCTTAGGAAGGGTGTTGGGTTTTGCTGTTCCTGTCATTAAAAGCCGCTGTGTTGATGCTATGGCTTGTAGCCTGCCACAGACTTAACTGCTTGAAGGAACTTTGACAGCCCTGGCACCCTGCACTGCAGAAACTCTTCTTTGTTCTTGGGTGATCCAGTCTCAGAACCATGCCTGGATCCTTCACCTGCGTTTGGAACAGCTGCTCAGCAGCAGAGGCAGCACAGAAGCATCCAGTGACTTGTGCAGGGGCTGTGCTGATCTTGTGTCATGTACGTGAGTTGCAACAAGGGAAATTCCAATGACATACTAAGGGTGTTTTATTTTTCGAGTGTAAGGAGAGGTCAGGGGCAGGGATAGGGCCCAGAGGGTTTTGGAAGCTCCATCCTTGGAAATACACAGAAATAGGTTGGGCAAGGCCTTGAGCAATCTGTGGCTTTGTTTGAGGGTGGCCCTGTTCCAAGGAGGGAATTAATTTCTTGCAGTATATATTACTACGTGATTGATTGATTCAGGCTGTCATTCCTCTGGACTTGTGTGTTGCTAGATGACCCACTCATATACATCTGAGGTGGAACAGAGGTGAGTATTCGCCCCTGTTTATGACAAACTAGCCAGAAGATGCGATAATGATGTGGTGTTTTGTTTTTCCCAGCTGGCTGTGCGTTCATGGAGAGAAAGAAGTAATAGCTTTGCCAGCATCAAGCCTAACGTTACAAAGTTAACCAGTCAGAATTTTTTGAGCAAATTGGAGCTGTCACGGGTCTTACTCAGTTGCCATGTTTATAAATAAACTTGCAGCAGATCGTTGCTTTGCGTCAGGGCACCACAGCTTTTTTTTATCTGATACCATCAGCCCCGAAGCTGGATTTATTGTATCATCAAACCTTGGCCTCAGAGGAAAAAGTGATTAAACCACACAATTCTCCTAATGACTCTTTGAGGAGGGTTATTACATGACATCTCATTTTTTATGGAGAGTATTGTCCTGGGAATTTATGCATTGCTGACCCCTGCTGTGCAACCCATTAGCACTTTCTGCCATGCTAGTAATAAATATCTAGTAACATAAATGAAAAAATATGTTAAAAAGGGGTATAACAATGAGGGCATTATTGTAATCTAATCATCATTTTGTGGCTTCCCTCAGCAAATATCTATCTCTAGCACAGCAGTTTTGCAACGTCTGTATGTAGCCTGAGTTCTGTTGAGTTTTTTGGTGGGATTTGAACCCTGTAACAGCAAGTGCCTTACAGGACCGGACGTTTGGTCCCTCTACAGTGTACAGCACTTAAGTGAAACTGAAAGGATTGCCTTGTGCGGTGCCTCATCACCTTGCCATGTGATTGCCAGCACATGCAAAGGCACGTGCACTGAACTGGGCATCCCCAAAAGCATAGGCAGTATTAAAAATATTAATCAGAAGGTTTGACTCAACCCAATAGAATTAGCTGCAGGCAGACGTTGACTTTACTGAACTAACTATTACCTGAACAATAATACACCACCTGTGCCTGGCTGCAGCTTCAGTGTTTTTGTGCATTTCTACTTGAGGAACTACTGTCACTTTTTGTGTAGCAACACATTAAACAGAGCGATATTTCTATTTTTTATTTAAATTTTATTTCTCATTTGGTCTCATTTCCAGGCAGACCTGGAAAATAAAGTAGCATGCATTAGCATCCCTGCCAGGAAGGCTGTCATCTACAGTTATCATAAAGCAGAGGTTATTTTGAGATGAAGGGTCAGAAAGCTTCATTTGGTCTCTATGCCTCTGCTTCTGTGAACTCTAAATCACTGCAAGTTTTTGTAACTGTGGTGAAGTTTGAGGAAGTAGAGTCAGCTTTAAGAAATCCTTGCCTCATCATGTGAGACATAGTATCTGATGGGGTGCATGTGGTTGTTGTAGTGCTGAGTAAAGTGGATGTACTGTCCACCCACACTTCTTCAGCCTTTCCAACCTCATGTAAGCTCACCAGAGCTAGCACATGCCAAAGATACTCACACCTACTATCCTTACTCGAAGAACTGTCATTAGGGAGATGTGGTAGTCAGGGTAAAGAGCGTCAAAAGGTCTTGAAAAAAAAAAATAGATAGGCACTGAATTGTGTTCACCGTGCACAAACCAGCTACTATGCCATGATTGTAATATATGTCTTCATTGTTCTTTGATTTAAGTTGTCTTCAGTCAATGGGGGCTGCTGAGACTGGCTCGATTGTCTGCAGAAAACCATTCTGTTGTTTCACTTAAGCTGAGCCAGCTGCTCTCTCTGGCAAGCATAACCAGTAAGTTACTTTATGCCATCACCCTGTTCTGAGCAGTATTTATATAGAAGCAATAATTATTGAAGTAGTGGGACTAAGAAAACACTATCTATCTATCTATCTATCTATCTATCTATCTATCTATCTATCTTTTGATGTGCTGTGATTACATTCTCTGATGTTTAATAAAGTATGAACTGTGGTTAAAGCTTTTCCTGCAGGTAGGGAATCCTAAATGTCGCTTTCCAGTATGGGATTCTCTGATGTCTCTGACTGAAATGTGGCAGCATGTCTTAAGGGATCATGTTAATGGGGCAGTGCCTCAAAGAGGGCATGAGTAAGGTCTGTCTGTTGGCTACTTTCATCAAATTTACAGAAATACAATATTTTTGAGTCTTCTGGAATTTTGTGTTTACTGTTCTCTTGTATTTGATTGATATTGCCCAGTGTGTTTGACAACAGGCTAAGTCAGAAATCCACACCTGTATTGTGTGTATACTGTGCGCATAGATAAGCTTTTTTTCCTTAGAAAAAGAGGCTCCTGAGAAAAACCCATTTGAACTTTAAAGTAGCAGTATCACAGCAGGTTTTGTGTGGTTCATTTTGTAGCTAAAAGGCTATTTCCGTGCATCTGCCAGGTACCTGAAGGTTCCTTGGGTTCCAAAGGCAGAATATTTAAGCAGTTAATACAGCGCTATCCCCATGGTTGACTGTGCCTCATTTCTATGACACAAAGTGCTATAAAAGCGGGACCTGAAACTCGCATCTCTAAGCATCAGCAGCCAAGTGTAAAACATAGAGCCTTGGGCTCATGGAAGACTGGAATATGAAATCTGAAAAGTCATTTATAGCCCTAACTGATGCTCTTCGTTTTTTTTTTTAATCTGTTGTACAGCTTATACATCTGAATATATTGAGAGTTACAAACTACCAATTAGGAAATGTTTTACTGGAAGAGTTATTTGAAAGATATATATTTGGAGAGGATATCAGTGTTGAGAATCAGTACATGAAGGAAAAAATGGTAAGGTTATGTTTAAGTTTCTGGGGAAAAAAGAGTTTTCTGAGTTTCACAGGCCAGGGATGGCATGCAATTAAATGGATTGTTCATTTAAAAGGGGAGATGTTGGCAACAAAAGCCTGCAGCTTCAGGCAGGCAGAAGGGCAACATCTAATTGCGTACGGTACTAGTAATACAGGCAAGATGATCTGAGAAGCAGGATTTTATATTGGAAAGATAGTGTTAAGATACAGTTAGTGAAAATAGGTGTTTGTTTATGGAGAAAATAGGTCTTTGTAACCTCCACAGTGGAGCTGTGATGAGATTTTCACTGGTTATGCTTGCTATCAGGAAAGATCGCGTGCCATTTCAGACATTTGGGAGCAAACATGTACTAGCTATACATTCTGCAGAAACAGCTGGCCCTCGGGTGCAGTAGGTTCAGGATACGAGTATGTTTGTGCTCTCTGTTTGTAACGTGCGTTTGCTCACTAGAAGAAAGGCAGATGGTGAGCCTGTACTGTGGGGAGGCACACAGGCATTGCTTGCAAAGATAAAAGCTATTAGTCAGGTTAAGTTGTTGCATTAGAGAACTTTGTTTCATTCCCTCTCCCCAGGCTGATGTGCACCATTCTTCGTGTTTGCAGCAGGGAGAAAATAGCTGCTGCTGTGAAATCAGGGAAGACTAGGAAAAATAGAATAGAATAGAATCATAGAATCACTAGGTTGGAAAAGACCTTAGAGATCATCCAGTGATGATGATGACTGATGAATCACTAAATAGTACGTGATTCTTCCAAGCAACTATCGATTTTGTCTGCCTCTACTGAAATGATTTTGTTGGGAACATTTACCCCTTTTTCCAGCAATTCTTGGGTCTCATACTTGGAAAATTCGGCTGCTATTGAAGGTCTTTGCCAAAGATGCAGGTGTACCCAATGCATGCTTGTAGGATATATGAAGTGAAAGATTTGGAAAGGTAGCTGTGTGACTGA